AGACCATCTTCCACGGGGGATGGCCACACCACAATCCCTTCCCATCTGTTCTCTTCTCAGGATTTGGAGCATGCATGCACATGTGCCCAGCATTATTTTCAAGCTGTGGGGTTTGGATTTGAGTTGTGGCGTTGATCATGTGGGATCCAGCGTCCTTAACCTCTGTTACACCTGCTGGCCCACCTTGTCACCTTTTAACATCGCATCAAGTATGTTTGCATGTATTTATTTATTTCAGAAAGATTTTTTTTTTTTTTTTGCCATAAGGCGCGTGCACTCGCCAGACAGAGACAGAAAGCGAGAAATTACCCCCCAGGGGGGATGGCCACATTGCAATCCCTTCTCCTCTTGGGATCTTGGTCATGCATGCACAATGCCCGGTGTGAGTTTTAAGCCACCGGGACCAGGACTCGAACCAAGGTCGACTACATGCGAGTCCAGCGACATAGCCATTACACTAACTGCTGGTCCCTAAAAAAGAAATTTTTAATTTAACTTTATTATTTTCTAGTTTGATTAGAGACAGACAGAGACATAGACAGAGAGGGAGGGAAAATGAGAACACAAACCACTACATTCAGGACTCGAACTAGGGTTGGCCCTGTGGGAATCCAGTACCTTTAACCACCACACCACCTGCCGGCCCATGAAGCAAGTATTTAAACCTCCCACTCCTGCTTTTTTCTGGTGTGTAAGACCATTTTCAAGAAGATACCTGAACAGGGACCAGCAGTTAGCGTAATGTAATGGCTGTTGCCGCTGGACTCTCATGTAGTTGACCGTGGTTCGAATCCTGGACCCGGTGGCTTAAATTCATGCTGGGTGCGTGTGCGTGCGTGCCCAAGATCCCGAGAGGAGAATGGAGGAGAAGGGATTGCAATGTGGCCATCCCCCCTGGGGGGTAATTTCTCGCTTTCTGTCTCTCTTTGTCTTTCTGATGAGTGCACGCGCCCTATAGCAAAAACCTCTCTTGTGCTTTTACCTGTATGGAATCTTATGAAATTTGTTTTTATTTAAACAACAACAAAAAAAGAGAAGATACCTGAACAGAACTGTGAAAAAGAGCTATTTTTGAACATACCTCAGGGGTGGGATAAACAAGAATGTGGATTTCCTAAAAAGTACTTAGGTGAACGCCAGACTTTTTGATTTGTAATCCAAACCGCAGGAAAGTATCCATCTAGCAGGCTGTGACGGTCAGTAAGAGGGCAGCCGAAGAGCTGGCGGATTAACCGCGGAACAAGAGCCATTACAAAGAGCTGTGCCAGCCCACCTGGCGCGTCTGTGAGGAAGACACAGCAAGTGCCTTCTTATAATCCCGCCTTTCATAAGGTAATGACAAAATCCTTCATGATTATGACTAGAGCCTAGAGGAAATTATGAAAAGACGCATGACAGCTTATGGCTGTGTACACATAAAACTGACCTAACCGTGGGAGGGGCGATGTGGGGGAGAGGAGTGCGGGGAGTCAGTAAGGAAACAAACGGGCCAGCGGTGGCGTGGTGGTGAAGGCGGCTGGACCCCGTGTGGCTGACTGCGCAGAGCCCCAGATACGTCAGTTTGGGAAACGTGTGGGGCATGTGTGTGTGCATGTCCAAAATCCCAAGAGGAGAGAGAAACTGCGGAAGGATGAGGAGGGGTGACTCCATGTGGGGGGTGCATTCTCATTCTCTCTCGAGGTGAGTATACAAATTGCCTGGCAAAATAAGAAACAAAGCAACAAACATTTAAAAAGCAGACCACTAAACAGTAAATAATAGTCTTACTCATTTCTACAACTGTAAAGAAAACTGCAATAAAATAACTACGAACGCACCCGAATGACTTCACTCAAATGCAGAGGAGACTGAGTGCCCAGCGGCCTGTTAGGTGGTGGCACTGGGGCGTGTCAGCGCGATGGCCTGCAATCCTCTGCATGTGCCTGGCTGGCCTGAGAACTGAGGACACCCCTAGGTGAGGGGCCACTGTGGGCGTGTGGGCCGCGTGCTGCCAGCTGGCAAGGACAAGGGCACCAGGTCTCCTTTGCATTCTGGGTGAAGTGCATGTATGGGGAAGGGTTCACCCAGAGGCCCGAGATCTGACAACTCAGAGGAGGCAGATCCGAAGCCACTGTAGGCAAGGGGCTGGAACAGGGACGCAAGAAAGACAAGGGTGGGTGAGGATTTAGAGCAGACCAGAGCCAGGGTCAACTCACAGGTGACCCGTGACGCCCACGGACGAGCCTCACAGGTCTGCCTTGTGAGCAGGCTGTGGTTGGAAATCTCCTGAGTGACATAAGGAAAAAAAAGAGAGAGAGAAAATTGGAAATTAAAGAATGACACAGAGTGTTTCTCTCTGGTGAGGGCAAGCGCCCTATAGTAAAAAAACATATAAAGGAACCAAAAGCAAACCAACCAAAACAAGAATGACACCAAGAATAGGAAAGGTCTTATCAATCAACATACATTTTTAATAGTAAAAAGTAAAAACTTTCGTTACATAAAACTTTAATTTACATACATTCTTTACATGGCAAAAGGCGTTACAAGCCTACAGTTACCAAGCTCCTGCCCACATCCTGTACTTGATCCCACGTGAAGGCTCGGAGCACCTGCGGCGGACCACCCAGGCCCCGTGCCCTGGTTCCCTACATGAACTGCAGCTGTCCCTGGAGCCAGTCCCTCGTGACAGCAGGGGAGAGGCTGCACGGGCTCTCGCTGGCTTGCTCATGCCTCTCCAGGCTTCTCCTCCCAATCCTGGGCTTCTGTCCATGGGAAGGGGGAGAGGGGAAGAAGGCCCCAGCCAGCACTTTTCTGAGGGGAACTGTGGAAAGAAGTGAGCAGGGGAAGCTCTCTCTGATGAGAGCAGCTTTCTGGGAACGCCCCGTGTCTGTGGGCTCCCGCACCAGTCCTGGGTAAGTGGGAGCTGTGCCTGACAGGGTCTGAGGTGCCAAGAGGCTGCAGACTACAGGACAGGACCCTGGTAGGCTGAGTCAGGGGGCAGTGCAGGATGACCGCCTGCCCACAGCGCTGTCGTGAGGCATGAGGCATATGAAGCCTGGCACTGTTTTCTTGAATTTAAAATTCAGGGCTCAGCCGGGTTCCTCTCTCTGTACTGTGCTAGCAGCTGGCCACTCAGGCTGGTGGCTGCTGCCTGCCTGACAAGTGCACTCCATGGAGGTGGAAGGGTCTCCATTCCCGCTCCGTCACGACTCGACAGCTCCAGGCCGCCACTTACAGTTGCATAACCTTCTCCCCACAGTCTGAAACAGTCTGGACACTTTGCAGTCTCCAGGGAGAGGAAAATGACAGATGTAGTTAGCGCTAATGCTTAAATCATGCAGGGCAGGGAAAGCAGACACCGAGGGGCCTGGACAGCAGACAAGCTGGCTGGAGGGCTGCTCGTGAAGGCCAGCACTGAAGCCACACGGCCCCCAGGGGGTGGACTTCGATGTGGCGCATGAGAGGGAGAGCACCTGTCCCTGACGTGCCTTTGTGGAAGCTGCTGGGGGTGAGGACAGGGACGTGCACACTGCAGGTGGCATGGCAGTCCAGAGCCTCCCCGTCTCACTCGCTACCTTCCTAAGCACCGTCGCCTTCCCAGCCTCCTGCCTGAAATGCACGGGCCCTGTACACATGCAGGTCTGACATGGAAGCACCCTCAACCTAAATACTAGTTCAAGCACACTCTGCACTCCGGTCCTCCAACACGTGGGGGTGAAGGGTCACCACGGACAGGTAGTGAATGCGGGACTTGTGCATGCAGAGGAGCTCAGAAGCCTAAAAGATCCCTCTGTTTACATAGCTGATTCTTGAAAGCTGGGCCAACCTGCCTCTCTCCACACCACGAGACATGTAGCTTTTCTTCTCTTTCTCTGTAGCCTGACCGTCTCCTGATGGGCAAGATGAAAAGCAAGCCTCTGCTTTGGGGTTTGCATGTTCACTATGGAAGCGCCTGGGAGTGTGAAAACTCATGCCAGACCACACTCCGACGGTGGAGACTGGAGCTGAGGCGCGGGGGGGCTTGGTTTAAAATGACTGATTCTACACTGAGGCCTATGCTGATTTTGAGAGAGGGGAACAGAAAACTGAGAACTGAAAAACAAGTGATGTAAACTCCAAGGGGACCCACAACTGGAATTGGGCAGAGTCCCTACTCTGGTCACACCTCGGGAAACGCAGTGATGGGAAAATGGCTGGACACCGTTGTGTTCCAGCTATGCTCACTCTTCTAAAAAGGCTTTTCGGGGACCAGCAGTTAGCATAATGACTATGTCGCTGGACTCCCACATACTTGACCACGGTTCGAGTCCCGGACACGGTGGCTTAAACTCACGCCAGGTGCGTGTGC